CGGAAACTGAAACACCAAAAGTTCCACAGGAACTTAAGGAAAAATTCCTTCCCAGTGAGGGTGCCAGAGCCCTGGAACAGGCTGCCCAGAGAGGTTGTGGAGTCTCCTTCTCTGGAGATCTTCAACCCGCTTGGACGCAGTCCTGTGCCACGTGCTCTAGGTGACCCTGCGTGTGCAGGGGTTGGACTGGGTGATCCCTAGAGGTCCCTTCCCACCTTCAGCATTCTGGGATTCTATGGTTCTATCACAAAGGCGCCTCTGCATATCCAGTTGTGACCTGCATCTACGGGAGGTCCAAGGACAGAAATTCAACACTGGTAAAGAGGTTGTCCAAAAAAATTCACCAAAATCTCCCATCGGGTCCAACCAGTCCATCTAAACATTTTCCAAACTGCTCTGTTAACTACTTTAGACTCACTTGAATCTTTGCAGAAACAGTTTCCCAACAGCAACTAGCATAAAAGATGGTAGGAAGAGGGGCAGATTCTCTTTTGAGCTGTTTAGATCAAAAAATGTCTTGCAATTTAACCAGATCCGTTAGCATCACAGCAATAAGCAGGAGCTTCTGCACATCTCTCCATTCAGGCAAACAAAAACACAAAACTGACTTCCTCAGGCACGGGCAGACACCTGCACTGCCCAACGCTGGGACCCTTCATGAACGTCCCGCTCTCGGGGTGTGCAGCGGGCTCACTACTAACATTTCTTCACAGATTTATAATTAATTGTGAATTATACATTCATCAAGAGAAAAGCTGCTGTTAAAGGGTTTAAACTAGGAAGGTTTGGGGCATTGTTAATCCAAACATATATATGGAATATATATATGTAAATGTTACTTTCACATTCAAAACCATTACAAATACACCAATTTTCTTGCCAGGTCTCTGAAACCTTTCAAGAATCCATAGCCAAGCTGCTTGATCCGCAGGAAGCACCGGCCCCGGCTGTCCTTGGGAAGGCGCCAGCCCTCCCCTCTTCACGTCTTTGCCCGGTGCACACGCAGCAGGGCCGACCCCGCTGCCCGCCGGGGGCTCTTTTAGGGACAGCTCACAGAAACACGGCCGGGGAGATCTGGGGATGGTTGTTCACGGTATACTGAAACCCAAGCGGGTATCCAGGCAATCAGCCTAGGTTTAACATATAACCCACACGACAACTGCAAATTGACCTGGAATAGCGCTCCAAAAGCAGCACGTGCTGCTCGAGGATCGGGGAAATCAGAGGAATTGGCCTCATAATGGGCCACCAGTAGCCACAGGCGACGCATCTGAGGACAATATATACCGGATAATATATACATATATATGCATACACCTGCATATAGCATGAACGGTGATTTCGGTATGTGCCCATGAAGTACACCCACTCGCTGCAGTGTAAATGCTAGAGCACATGGAAACGTCCTGCAAACACAGGACAAGATGTTCACAAAGATGACAGAGTTACGCCCTGATGAATGTCTGCTTTTATCAGGGAACAGACCAATATGCCTACAAGGGAGTAATAAGAATGTTCGGGATTACTTAAAACTGTAACCCTAGAGAAGTAGCTGTCCCCACTCTGCAATGATTAGCCAATTAAATTTTAAAATCTTGTTTCACTTTACATGAGCTATGACGACTAGCAAGGTGCTTGTCCTCTGCAAGGTATGGAGAGGTGGAACAGAAGCACGAATGAGAACCAGGGTCTCTCCGTAAGGAACGTGAGGTAGTGAGGAAAACCCAGGCATCACCAGCCACCCGGCTGAGTTCATCTAACAGCACCCGCAGCAGCACCCACAGAGCCAGGGCAATCCACACACTTAACTGGCGGTAGGACCTTGCAGAACCAGAAACCCAGAACGAGAGAAAAAGGTCTATTTTTCCTTTGCTATGAGTAAATCAATCTACCTTCTTTCTACACTTCAGAAAGTGCTTCTTCGCCTCCTTCCACACTGTTGGGAAGAATGAATGAGTACCAGGAAAGGAGGGAGAAACTGAGATAGCTGGAGAGCTCGCAGGCCTTAGGAACCCAAGGAACTGCCAGCACAAGTGGTCCTGATGATGCACGACTTGTGACGCTTCCGGCTGAACACGCGGCTCTGCAGGCCCTTCCCAAAGCACAAGGTGGAGGCTTCTCTGAACTTGGGGCGTCTTCTATGTTCTACAGCAAAACCTGCTGTTAGAAACAGCGATATGGAACAGGCCTGCTCGGGGAAGGCAGGAAACGGAAGCCTAGGAAAGGCGATAGCTGCGCTGCCTGAGCCTATCTCGGGCGCCGCGGGACAAGGCGCCCCTGCGCAATGGCCACACGGGACGAAGAGCTCGCGGGGCAACAGCCCTGCGGGCAGCACGACTTCCCCGTGTGCACCTCACAAGGGCAGCACGGCTTCCACGCAGGGCTCTGCTTAAGGGAGTTGCGGTGCTCAGCTTTGGAGTCAAGGTGCCCTTAGCTTGATAGCAAGGCTGCCGAAAGCTGAGGAACATCTGCCACCCCTAAAGAGGG